TCGGCCAAATAAAGAAATTTAGCTTTTTGCAGCAAAACTGTCTCAAAACTGAAAAAACGAAGGGCGTCATGATCTGGAGAATATTTTAAAGAATCTTTTGGCGAAAACCGCATGCCGATCGATGCAGCCATTAAAAAGCCTTTTGAATAGCAAAATTCGGCCACCACAAATAGATAGTAGATTGCTGGGTGGATTTTTACTGAAAAACGTTGAACAAGGGCACAGCACAACAAGGTAAATGCTCACTTTCCAAGGACCGTCAAACTTTGGAAGTGATTAAACTTTGGGAGCCATTTTCTCGCTAAGATTACCTCTGAAACCAAGTGACTCCCACCTCATTCAATCGCAAATATCTCGACTTCTATTCAAGAAAGATGCGCATTTTTTTCATGGAAGGCAAGACAAATGAACAAACTTTAAGATGATACCAGTTACTCTACATGCCCAAAAACTGACGAGCGCCTGATTCCACCACGTCGTGACACATTTCATTGACAACATTGCTCTGAAGTCGTGCTAAAAGCCTTCAACAATTTCAGGTTAGGCGATAAATTGGTTCAGTGAGCTTCCAAATCAACAATTTATACAACAGAGGCCTCGCTTGATCCTTGTGGTATATCTCTAATTCGCCGTAATGGAACGAACGCTAAAGAGTAAAGTTCGACGTCATATCAGCAGCAAATAAGACGTATTATAAGTATTAAAAGGTTTTAGACCTAACATTAGATCTATGGGTAATATATACGAAAAGGAAAGCAAGGTCAGATTTGTTTCAAGGTTAGTTCTATTTATAGCGTAAGAAAACGAAAAGTAAATCCTGCTCCTCAGACAGATAGGCAGACAGACAGACAGACAGATAGCTAGCTAGCTAGACAGACAGACAGACAGAAAGACAGACCGACAGACAAACCGACAGACAGACAGACAGACAGACAGACAGACAGACAGACAGACAGTGATCATGGCATACCTAGATGACCACTTCATCAGTTTGCTGACACCAAACACCGAGTACAGAATGAGAAACCCAGCGTTCCACAGACCCACACAAGCGAACATCGCTCGGAAGTCAAGGTCGAAATCTTCGCTGATGCTGAAGATGACTGTAAGACAAGAAAAAGGCGCTCAAGTTTTATTATTTATTAAGGTGTAGGTGTTTTTACGCTTACATCGACCCAATTTAGGTAAAAAAATGTTTGTGTGGAGGGGTGATTTGAGATTGGGCGCAAACATACATATATATATATATATATATATATATATATACATACACACATTCATGCAAGCGCACACACACACGCACACACTCACACACAAATACACACAGACTCACACACGCGAATATTGCTCGGAAATCAAAGTCGAAATCTTCACTGATGCTGAAGATGACTGTAAGTTAAGACAAGAAAAAGGCGCTTACGTTTCATTATTTTTTTCAGTGTAGGTGTTTTTTACGCCCTCTCCCATCGACACAATTTAGGTTTTTAAAAAAGTTGGTTTGGAGGGGTAATTTGATGTGGGTGAGGGGG